GTGATCACGTATTTGTGAAAGTGACACCGATGAAAGGCCAGACTCGTTTTGGAGTCAAAGGAAAGCTAGCACCGAGATACGTCGGGCCATATGAATTGAGAAAATTAATCCGGTGGCGTATCAAGTCGCGCTCCCTCCTGAAATGGAGCACATGCATAATGTTTTCCACATTTCGATGTTAAGAGATTATCTCCGGGATCCCTTCCATGTGATTGAGCCTACTCGAGTAGTGTTGAGGGATGACTATACTTACGAGGAACGGCCTATACAGATTGTAAATAGACGAATCAAGAAGTTGAGAAACAAAGAGATCCCGTTGGTGAAAGTCGATTGGCAGAACCATGGTGGCATGTATGCGACTTGGGAAAGGGAAGACGACATGGCTAAAAGATATCCTGAACTGTTCCCACTGAACCATGTTTTCTTCCAGAATGAAGGTAACTCGAGTTTAGAGGACTAAACTCTTTATAAGGAGGGGAGACTATAACAACCCTCATACTATTTACCGATTAATGACTGATTATGACTGATAATTGGACTGATTAAAGTACTGAACTGACTGACTGGAATCTGGAATTAATTGACTGAGTCTATCTGTGTAATTGTGCATCTATCTGTTTGATTGATTATTTGATCTGTTCGTGTTTTACGTTTAAACTGCTAATTGAAGGCCTTGTCGGCGGCCGAACCGGGAATTGATTGATGTTTTAGGATCCTCATAATTAATGTGATTTTATGGTATAATTATCTGAAAACTGATTAGGTATGATTAAATTAAATTAATGGTGTTAAATTACATGAACTGGACTTATTACCAAATTGCCACCCTTAGTGGCACACTCAATATAACACATTAGAGCCCTTGCATGCTTGAATCATGAATCAAAACATTTCATTAGTTACTTCTCCTTGTTCAACCGGCCTTAGAGAGAGAGGAAGGGAGAGAGTTGAATTGTTCTAGTGAATTGGCTTGAATTTCTTGGAATTGAAGTGCAAATTGTCAAATTGGGCACCTAAACCTTGAACACAAGACTAAGGTAGGACATTCATCTTCTTGTTGTTGTCATAGACTTGATTCTTGCATGATCCATGCTTCATTTGTAGAGTTAAGCCATGTTTTAGTTCATACATGTAGGATTAGAACATAATTCATGTATGCATGTTTGAATTGATGAGTTTGAGTTGAATCCATGGTGAAATGGAACATGCATGTTCATAATTTTGTAATGGTCCATGTTTTCAACTTGTTTTCGGATCAATTGGCTCCTTAGAGCATCAAATTGGAACTTCCAAATGATTTGAATTCATGCATGTTTGCGTGTTCATATTGTTCATGAAATTGGTTTGAAATTGAGTTTGAATTAAACACCCTTGGGCCTTGATTTCTCAAAATTGAGCTTTGAACTAGGATATTCTATGTGTTTATAAATGTTTTCCAGAAAATGGGCCCAAGAGGATTGGTTTTGATGCATTTGAATGTGAGTTTGAGCTTGGAGGTGCAATCTGGAATTCCCAGATTCTGCACTTCCGCTCGAGCGGGGGAAGTGCCGCTCGAGCGTGGAATCCGAGCATCCAGCATCTCTCTACACTGTCCATTCTAGGCATTCTTATGCCTAGTTTTAGACATCTTGTTGAGGATAGATATAGAACACACCGAGGCATTAGGGGTTAAATTATGTTATCTCCCAACTGTGTAGCTTAGTGTGTGTTCAATCTGTTAACTGTGTAGGGTTGGCGACTGGGGAGGCGCGCTCTAGCATACTGTAGCCCAAACTCTGTGAGTAACAACTGTGTAAAGATATGTTCAAAATGATTATTTTCTGAACAATTGAACTGTACTGCTTTCTGAACTGTTACTGTTAATTGAATGAATGTATGTCCTCTATTCTGAACTGTATTGTGGCATCCTTAGCAACTACTGTTACTGACTGTTACTGTTACAGAGATCTCTGTCGGTTCCCTCGTGGAACCACTACTGTTTACTAATCGATGGCCATCATTACTGTTCGGTCTTTAAGACCTACTGTTTACTGCTATGCTAATGGATGTACCACATATGATTGAATAACTGTTCTGACTGAAAGACTGAAGTATTGTTAATTAACTGATTTCAATACTGTAAGGACATTTCATTCTTAACCCATTTACGCATTATGTTATTCACTGGTCTTTAGCTCACTGTTTATATATATATGTAGGTGCTCAGCCACCAGATCGGAGCTAGGAGCGCGGGTTAGACTCCAGTTTTGTCAAGCCAGCCTTTGTGCCTCACTGCGAGGTTCCGAATTGCCATGCTATGGCTTTGGGGTGTCTTGTTTTTCCCCCGTCTGTCTCCGTACTGTTTGGTTTACTGTATAGACTGTCAGCTACTAACTGTACTGTTATCAAGGGATTTGGTCTCTGTACTGTGTGACTGTAAATTTTGTGTGAATGCTTGAAAAATCTTTTTGGCATACAGACTGTCAAAGCTCAATGGACATTATTTATTTACTGTTTTGGCTTTCGCCAGGCCCTGTACTCTGTTTTACTATACTACTGTTCTGCAGGCCTTTGGTAATCTCGGATTACTGGCCGGTTACTGTGCTAAACCCATAGGGCCGGGTTTGGGTCGTGACACCCGTCTTCTCCCACAAGTCTCTCGTTCCTAGACGATCGTCTGTGCCAGGTTTGGTGCTAAACCGACGCCGTTTGGTGATTTTGGGACGTTAACACCTCCAATTCAAGTTTCTTAAGGAACTAGTTTGCCTAAACCGAAATCTGGCTCTAACTCCCAAACCAGGAACCCGTTTGGAGTCCCGTCTTCTCCCTCAAGTCTCTCATGCCTAGACGGTCGTGTGTGCCAAGTTTCGTGCTAAACCGACGCCATTTGGTGATTTTGGGGCGTCAACACCTCCAATTCAAGTTTCTTAAGGAACTAGTTTGCCTATAGTGAAATTCGGCTCTAACTCCTAAATCGGGAACCCGATTGGAGTCTCGTCTTCTCCCACAAGTCTCTCGTGCCTAGACGGTTGTGTGTGCCAAGTTTCCTGCTAAACCGACGCTATTTGGTGATTTTGGGGCGTCAACACCTCCAATTCAAGTTTCTTAAGGAACTAGTTTGCTTAGAGTGAAATTCGGCTCTAACTCCCAAACCGGGAACCCGTTTGGAGTCCTGTCTTCTCCCACAAGTCTCTTGTGCCTAGGCGGTCGTGTGTGCCAAGTTTCGTGCTAAACCGACACCGTTTGGTGATTTAGGGGCGTCAACACCTCCAATTCAAATTTCTTAATAAACTAGTGTGCCTATACCGAAATCCGGCTGTAACTCCCAAATCGGGAACCTGATTGGAGTCTCGTCTTCTCCCACAAGTCTCTGGTGCCTAGGCGGTTGTTTGTGCCAAGTTTCGTGCTAAACCGACGCCGTTTGAAGATTCTAGGGTGTCAACACCTTCAATTCAAATTTCTTAATAAACTAGTTTGCCTAAATCGAAATCCGGCTCTAACTCCCAAACTGAGAACCCGATTAGATTCTCGTCTTCTCCCACAAGTCTCTCATGCCTAGGCGGTCGTGTGTGCCAAGTTTTGTTCTAATCCGACACCGTTTGAAGATTTTGGGGCGTCAACACCTCCAATTCAAATTTCTTAATAAACTAGTTTACCTAGACCGAAATCTGGCTCTAACTTCTAAATCGAGAACCGGATTGGATTTCCATCTTCTCCCACAAGTCTCTTGGCTCACAATGAAGTCACAAGAAGTTAGTCATGAAGACAAGAATATCAAAGATACAATAGAGCCCATGAACCTGCTATTAAAATTTAATGAAAAAAAAAGCAGTAGTTAAGGTGGTGGTATAGTGATTCTTCTTCTTGCAGAAATTAAATTTGTTTTAGATGTCCCACTAGAAATAAATAAACTCAACAGTAGGTTTCGAAAAGTTTAAATGATCCAGATGGAACCTACAAAGAATATATAATAGTAATGGAACAGTAGCAACTATGCGGCTCAGAGACAAGCATGGACATTGACACATAAGGACAGGCTAACTATGAAAGATCCAAATTCTATAAACCATTTTGTAACTCAAAAGATGAAGCTCCACAAATATATGGAAGGTTATTGTGCACCCACATATTACATATATATATCTTATTATTACACAATGTTATTTTCTTATATCAAAATGCATCTTGATTCATTTTGGCCAAATCCTTAATAATAAGTTTCTTTCAAAAACACTTTAAACATATATGGGCTAGCAGATGTATTTCCAGGAGTGTCACATCAGAGACAACATCCAACACAGACCATACCAAGGACTAGGTGCCCAGGCTTCCTATCCATTGTGATTTAAAGAACGTGCAGAACACAAAAATTGCTAACACAGAAACCATGATATGTTACAAACACTTCGTGAGACACTTCCCGACATTCATCAAACATTTACAACATGTGTCCAACACACATCTAAACATGTCCTAATTTTATTTTTATTTTTTTTAAATTAGACTAAAACACACTTTGGATACTTGGCAAACACATGTCCATCGCTTCAACATTTACAAATTTGAACAAAATAACTTCTGATCTAATGATAAAAGAAAAATAATGATGATTTAAACCTGCTAATACATCATCCTTTAAACTCTAGAAACCGGTATTGTGTTGTACAATCATCCTGCACGCACACACACACCAAGCACGGCAGTGGCACCACACAATGGGCATAAAAGATAAGAGTTTTATTCCAGATGGTGCATGTTGAGTTCAATTTCCAAGCACAAAAGAACCAGCAAAAAGTTAATCTATTCAAAAAAATAAACAAAATCTCCAACATTAACATTTGTCTTAAATATACCTTAATCATATGTAACTATATGGTAGTAGCGCTTCACTAAATTTTTTAAAAAAATGAGAAGGGGAACATGCATATTGGTATTGATAACTTAGACTTCTAAAGTTTTCTTAGATCAGATACAAGGTGGTAAAGTGAACCGTACCTTGAAAAGGTTAAACACATCTGCTTCTGAATACAAAAACTATGAACCCTTTCATGACCCACAAGATCAAAATAAATATCCTTTCCAATCTGTTCTACTAGGTCTTCATCACGTGCAACCTACAAGTACCAAATGATTATTTAAGTGATACACGCCCATTAAGTTTTTTCAATAAAAATAAATAAAAGAGGACATGCTACAATTGTTCACTGAAAAAATTTTCAGGTAAGAAACCAAAACCTTGATAATAGTATGAAGGTGAGCCTGAGCTTTGTATCTTCTTTTGTCCTCTTTTGCTTCTTGTTCTTTCTTCAACCTTATCTGGAATAAGATAATTATCTATGTCAACCAAGACCCTGGCATATGCAAACTAACATCTACACAACACTAAAATTTATGAAATTTATTTAAACTATAAACAAAGCCAAGATTTTACCCTAAGATGCTCTGCGATGTCCTTTTCATCCACAGTCCAACACACATCCAAACATGTCCTATTTTTATTTTTTTAAAATTAGACTCAAACACACTTTGGACACTTGGCAAACACATGTCCATCGCTTCGACATTTACAAATTTGAACAAAATAACTTCTGATCCAATGATAAAGAAAAATAATGATGATTTAAACCTGCTAATACATCATCCTTTAAACTCTAGAAACTGGTATTGTGTTGTACAATCATCTTGCACACACACACACACCAAGCACGACAGTGGCACCACACAGTGGGCATAAAAGATAAGAGTTTTATTCCAAATGGTGCATGCTGAGTTCAATTTCCAAGCACAAAAGAACCAGCAAAAAGTTAATCTATTCAAAAAAATAAACAAAATCTCCAACATTAACATTTGTCTTAAATATGCCTTAATCATGTGTAACTATATAGTAGTAGCACTTCACTAAATTTTTAAAAAAAATGAGAAGGGGGACATGCATATTGGTATTGATAACTTAGACTTCTAAAGTTTTCTTAGATCAGATACAATGTGGTAAAGTGAACCATACCTTGAAAAGGTTAAACGCATCTGCTTCTGAATACGAAAACTATGAACCCTTTCATGATCCACAAGATCAAAATAAATATCCTTTCCAATCTGTTCTACTAGGTCTTCATCACGTGCAACCTACAAGTACCAAATGATTATTTAAGTGATACACACCCATTAAGTTTTTTCAATAAAAATAAATAAAAGAGGACATGCTACAATTGTTCACTGAAAAAATTTTCAGGTAAGAAACCAAAACCTTGATAATAGTATAAAGGTGAGCCTGAGCTTTGTATCTTCTTTTGTCCTCTTTTTCTTCTTGTTCTTTCTTCAACCTTATCTGGAATAAGATAATTATCTATGTCAACCAAGACCCTGTCATATGCAAACTAACATCTACACAACACTAAAATTTATGAAATTTATTTAAACTATAAACAAAGCCAAGATTTTACCCTAAGATGCCCTGCGATGTCCTTTTCATCCACATTATCTTCTCCTTGTCACTTTCACGTATATACACAAGCATGTATGCATTTGAATATTTCTTAAATTTAAATGGGGTATTATTGAAACCAAGATTTGTCTGCGGCAACTGTTGAGCAAAGCAGCAAGAGGAAACAAGATAACTTCGTAATCAAAACAATGATATAGGAAGAAAAAGCTCCTGAAGTAATGCTGGTAAATGCCTACCTCTTCCTCACCACCATACTGCTCCTCTAACGCCCTCTTTATGTCTTCCTTTGTTCCCCGTTCATCATCAAATTTGAACCTAAAGAGGGAAATCATGAAAACCACAACAATAATAGACCTTGACACATGAAATAATGTTAAATGAATGAAAACATGGAAGACACTACATTAACATAACATAACAAATAAAAGGAAAATTTTTTTAATCAAATCAATTTGAAAATCCCCAATTTTTGAAATTGAAAAACCATAAACTCTAATATTGATATTGAAAAGCACTAAATCAAAACTCAAAACCCTAATATCTGGACATGTACCTGAAATTGGGTGGCGGGAAGGAAAGGTGCAAGAACTCCGGTCAAAGGGAGAGGTAAGAGCTCTGTTTGCTTAGTTTGCTGGTCACGGCCGGAGAGAGAAGCTAAGGACTCCGAAGAACTTCGTTTGCTGGTAATGGCTATCGATAGAGAAGGGAAGGACTCCGACAATGGTCGTCGATGTCTCGCTTCCTTCATTCACTGGTCCCCGTGGCTCGACGCCGTTGTCAGCCATACTCACAATTGCGAGAGAGAAAGAGAGAGAGATTTGGTAGAAATTAGGGATTTTGGTTCTAAGAGATTGGGGTTTTGGGGATTCATTGGTCCCCGTGGCTCGACGCCGTCATCGGCCATGCTCACAGTCGCGAGAGAGAGAGAGAGAGAGAGAGAGAGAGAGAGAGATATTTGGTAGAAATTAGGGATTTTGGTTCTAAGAGATTGGGGATTTGGGGGGTGTAACAGCGCCCGCGTGGGACCTCATGCTACAGTTCGGACTCGATTTTGTGTCACGGTTCTTAATCTGAACCAAAGAGTCCGAGACCTCCGGGAACTCCAAACGAACACAATCATGGATGATCACCGAGTGTTCAAACGGTGACGTCCAAGTCTTGAGGACGGTCAAAAATGGGGTGTTCACAATCATGTTTGTTAAAATATTTTTTTATATAGTTAATGATTTTTTTTTTTTGATTTTTCATTTTCTTTTCGTTACTAAGATTGAGAATTTATTTGTTTCATTTTTATTTTAATGAATAAAAAATTATTCAGCTTGTTTGTTTTCATTTTTCAGAAAACACTTTTCAGAAAATTCTACTTTCTTATTTTCCGTGTTTTTTTGTTTTTATTGAATTTTTTTAATACTTTAAGAAATTTTTTTTTTACTTTTTAGACACATCTAACATAAATATACCTAAAAAGTAAAAAAATTATAAAAAAAATCTTTTAAAAATTCACTAAATACCAATGTCCCACAGGACGTCCCCGCTAATGAATTTTTTTTTTTTTTTTGATTTTTGATTTTTGATTTTCTTTTAGTTACTAAAATTGAGAATTTATTTGTTTCATTTTTATCTTAATGAATAAAAAATTATTGTTATTATTTTTTATTTGGTAGAAATAGGAATAATATTTTAATGAAAAATATTTTCAATGAAAATAAAGTTATTTTTTTGTGGTTAATGAAAAATATTTTTCTGTGGCCCATTTTTTTTTTTTTTTTGTTACTAAAAATCAGGAACTAATTTTTTTGTGGTAGAGAATAGGGAGCAGCAGTAGTGGTGAAGGTGGTGGATAAGAGGTGATAGTGGTGGTGGTGGTGGTGGTGGTGGCAAAGGAGATTTGTGGTGAAGTTATGGTAGTGGTAGAGGAAATAGAGTAACGGTGGTGGAGGAAAGGTAATGGTAGTCGTAGTGGTGGTAGTGAAGTGGTGGCGATAGTGGTAGTAATGATAGTCATAAAGGCGGAGTGGCAACAGTGGTAGTAGTGGTGGTAGTGGAATGACATTTGCAGTAGTGGTGAAGGTGGTATAGGAGAAGAGTGATGAGTGAGAGAGAGACAGAGATAGAGAAAGAGAGAGAGACAGACAAAGAGAGAAAGAGATAGAGAGAGAAAGACAAAAAAAAAGAGAGAAACAAGAGATGAGCGATACAAAAGGAGAGAGAAAGAGAGCGAAAAGAGATGAACGAGAGAGAGAATAGAAAAATAGAGAGATAGAGAGAGAAGAGAGAAAAGAGATGAGCGAGAGAGATACAGAGAGAGAAAAAGAGAGATGAACGAGAGAGAAAAGAGATGATAGAGATAGAGAGAAGAGAGATGAGCGAGAGAGACAGAGAGAGAAGACAAATGAGAGAGATAGAGAGAAGAAAAATGAACGAAAGACAGACAGACAGACAGATAGATAGACAAATATACAGAGAAAGAAGAGTGATGAGTGAAAGAGAGAAAGAGAAGAGTGGTGGTAGTTGAATGGCATTTGCAGTAGTGGTAAATGTGATAGAGAAGATGGGTGGTGAGAGAGAGAGATGAGTGAGAGATGGATAGAGAAAAGAGATAGAGAAATAGAGAAAGAGATAGAGTGATGAGCGAAAAAGAGACAAAGTGGTCGCTAAAAGTGCATTTTCTTGTAGTGGATCGATAAATCGAAAGGGAGCTCAATAAATAAAGAAGAGATGAGGGAGAGAGAGAGCAAGACGAACACAGTGGGGGAGAAAGAGAGAGAGAGAGAGAGAGAAAGACAGACAGACAAACAGATAGGCAGACAGAGAGAGAGAAGAGTGATGAGTGAGAGAGAGAGACAGAGAGAGAAAGAGATAGAGAGAGACAAAGAGAGAAAGAGATAGAGAGAGACAAAGAGAGAAAGAGATACAGAGAGACAAAGAGAAAAAGAGATAGAGAAAGAGACAGAAAAAAGAGAGAGAAACAAGAGATGAGCAAGTGATAAACAAAAAGAGAGAGAAAGAAAGTGAAAAGAGATTAACGAGAGAGAGACATAGAAAAAAAAAGAGACAGAAAAAGAAGAGAGATGAACGGGAGAGAGAGAGAGAGAGAGAAAGAGACAAAAAAAGAGAGAAACAAAAGATGAGCGAGAGATAGACAGAGAGAGAGAGAAAAAAAGGAGCGAAAATAGATAAACAAGAGAAAGACAGAGAGAGATAAGCGAGAGAGTGAGATAGATAAAGAGAAGAGAGATGGGCGAGAGACACAGAGAGAAAGAGAGATAGACACACAGAGAAAAGTGATGAGTGAGAGAGAGAAAGAGAAGAGACACAGAGAGAAAGAAAGAGACAGACAAAGAAGAGTGATGAGTGAGAGAGAGAAAGAGAAAAGAGACAGAGACAGAGATAGAGAGACAGGGAGATGGAAAAATTGGTGAAAAAAGAAATGTTATATCAAAATAGTAAGATGACGTCGTTTTATTTATTTATTTTTTTTGTGACAGAAAAATACCGTTGCATTTATTTAAACCATTTTGTGAATATATATATATGAAGTTGTCTCAAAGCCTAAATATATATATATATATATGTATATTTTACTTTTTTTTTTTTGCAACAGTACCTATTACAGTCACAAAAAATTCTTTTTTTTTTTTTTTTTGCGACTGCAGCTGGTGTCGTCACAAAAATACTCTATTTTTTTTGTGACAGCAATTTCTGCCGTCGCAAATGCTCTATTTTTTTGCGACGGCAAGCTGTGCTGTCGCAAAAAGTCACATTTTTCGCGACGGCAAGTTGTGCCGTCTCAAAAAATCACATTTTTTTTTGCGACGGCAAGTTGTGCAGTCTAAAAAAATCACATTTTTTGCGACGACAAATTGTGCCGTCGCAAAAAGTTCCGTCTTTTAAACCTACTTTTCTTGTAGTGAAATGTTGTAATGCAAATAAAATAATGATAAGTTAAATGTGAATTATTTTGGCCAATTTTACCTTTATTAACTATTTTAACCCAAATAATTCTTCCCAAACATGATCAGTATAAAACAAAATAAATGTACTCATGTATGTAACGAAGTGGATCAAACTTTCCACTAATAATCTAATACATAGAAGCTGAAAGTGTTGAGCAACAGTATACCTATACGCGCACATAAAGCATCTCACAGTAAATGCATGAACTTTTATGAAAATCACTTGCAACCACCCATTTATAGAGAACTTTTATGATACACATTTTAAAAAGGTGTGTATCATATATCTCAAATTATGATTTTTGATGATACACATTTTAAAAAGGTGTGTATCGTATATCTCTAATTATGATTTTTGTGATCTTTAATTACGATTCGTTGAGGTATTAGTTATAATAAATTTTTTTTTCTTCTTTTGATCAGAAAGAAAATTTCATTAAAGAAGTCAAACGGCACTTATAGAAAGGAGTCCATCCAACAGAAAACTTACACCAAGTAAAGAAAAAATCAAATCACATAACACATCGGAGTAAAACTATGAAAAATATAGACGCGCATCTCGTGCTTGTGTGCTCTTACTACAAAGCAGAAGCCAAACAATCGGTCATACAACATGTCTGAGTAGATCATAGGTTTCAACCATAAAGTGAGTAGGCCATAACAAAGCACTGATGGACTCCATAAAAACTCCTAAACCAAAAAATCAATTTTTTTTTTTTGAAAAACTCAACCTCAAGCCCAAAGAAACCGTTGGATCCTTGGAGGTGGCCAGATTTGAAGTAGATCTGGCGGTGGAATAGCGGTGACGACTATGGTGAACAATGAAGGAAGAGGAAAATGACAGATATGGCATCGGAGGAATGGAGAAGGAGAAACTTAGCAAATTTCCACCAAGGGAAAAAAGGCTCCTCATAAAGAGAGAGATGTTGGGAAGAGAGATCTCTCAAAGTTTATTGAACAGAAACACAAGGGGGAAAGAAAAAGGGGGAGAGAGGTGGCCAGCGGCCGAAAGCCCCCTCTCCCTCCCCAAGCGGCGCCGCTCACAAAAACCCTAAGTGAAGGGATAAAGAGAGAAGCTCCCATTCTTAGAGAGAGAGCGTTTACTTATGACTTGGTAATAACTTAGTTATATATATTGTGGTGTTAGTTATGATTTATTATTATATTAGTTATTAAATTATTTTAATTATGATCTATTTTTTTAATTATTTTTTATATAATATTTGATTATAATTTATTTTTTAAAATTATAACTTATAAATTATTTAATTACAACATTTATAATAATCAATTTCACAAACTGTACAATAGTATTACCCATTTATATTGTGCATATTTTTTAGTTTGCAGCTCAAAGAGCGTGGGACACTAAAGGCACTTTTGGAAAGAATTAAAAAAATTAAATATTAATTTTTAATTTATTTTGAATTACGTTCGTTATTTTTCATATTTTTTAATATATTTAAAAAAAAAATTTAAAAAGTTCACTTTTTTTTTAACAATCTTTTCAGAATAATCTTAAAAACTAAGTATAATTTTTCTTATTATTAAAAGCTCGATTGTGGAACTTACTCGCAACCTATCACGCGAATCCCACTTTTAAACTTTTTTTTAAAAAAAATTATTTTTATAGTCTCCATTGAAAAACTTAAAGCCATGACATTTCTTTCCATCACATCACTGGAATAATCCCATAGTACATGGACCCACTAAGCTCCACCCCATTAAAATAAAAAATTATTGGGTAACTGTGAAGTTTGATTTGGTATGTGAATTGATTTTTTGTATTTTATTTTTTTAACCTTGTAGTATGGGATTAAAATAGTTTTATTTGGAGTAGAGTTTTATGATTTTTTTGACGTTTGGAAAATAAAAAATAAAAAAATTATAATTTAAATGTGATAATTTTATGGGATTAAAATAGTTTTATTTGGAGTAGAGTTTTATAATTTTTTTGACGTTTGGAAAATAAAAAAATAAAATAATTATAATTTAAATATGATAATTTTTAGTCTAAAATTAAAAAACTAACAATGATACATTCTTTTAAATCAATAAACTCCAATGACATGAAAAAAAAAAAAAAAAAGCACAAGACACAAACTTCACTATTATAATAGGATCCACACACCATTAGAGCTGTTAGAGCTCCTTTATTAAAGTTCTAAAATATTTTTATTAAAAATCTAATTTCATCTTTTTTGACTGAAATCCAACCTAATCCAAACATACATGCCAAACGAGCATTGAAGCTAATGCAAATTCTTGAATCCTACTTCCTCTACAAAGCACAACACAATTGAAGCACCACTTTACACCCAGACTAACCAATAAGGTTAAGTTTAGGAAGATTAAATAAGTGTATTTTTTAATTTTTTTTGTATTATGTGTAGAAAAAATAGAGAGGAGATGTTGATTGATGTGACCCAAAAAAGATAAAAAGATGAAATAAGTGTACTTTTTTAAGTTAGCCAAACTTGGCCTAACTTTTCCATTAAGGGGGCAATTTGAGAAAAGCTAACTTTTTAACTTTTTAACTCATTTTAAATCACATTATCGCTCATATTTTTTACACACAAAAAAATCAAAAAAAAAAAAAAACTAAACCAACTTTTAACCAACTTCCTAAATCACCCCTAAATCATGTCCCAACTGTTGTACAATATTTATTAAGGTGACCGTGATACCATTCTGATTCTTGTTGTAATCATTTAATGAACATTGCAAATATAATTTTGTGAAAAGCTCTTATTTTTCACTTTTTTTGTTTTAAAATATTAATTTTTTAAAAAAAATTTGTCTAATATCACTCTCTAATTTTTAATAATAAGAAAAGTTTACAATATATATATATATATATATTTATAACTTAAGGTTCTTCACTCGTTTCTTCACACTACTTTCTAAAGAAAATCGCAAGCTCTCTCCCTCCGAGAGTATCATAACACATCGAGCTCGGCTATGAAAATTAATGATCTCATCAAACTCCGTCTGTCCCCAACGACGAGAAGCTTCCCATCCCCAAGTTTGGCCATGAAAGAAGACCAAGAACACCAAGTACACAAACAATATATCACTCAATGATGTGATCGAGATCGCGAAAGTCATGAAATCGAGATTAATGGCCAAAGATTTTACTGGTACTGTTAAGGAGATTCTCGAAATCTATCTTTTTGATAGATTTGTAGTAGAAGATTTCAGATGATGATGTCGAGATTTCTTTGGATTAATACGAATTTTTTTTTCCAAGGTTTGTTCTTTGACTCTTATTTTTTTTCTTTCAATTTTCTGAATTTCTCTGTTTCAAGATTTTATGTTAGAAATTAGGCGCCCATGTGGCATGACCCTTAGAACCTTTTAAACCTCATCCAAATGGGTTTTGAATTTGAATTCAAACCTATTTAGATAGCCACTCAAGATATATATCTATCATATCATGATATGGATAGATGATATAGATATCAGATATTATCTCATTTAACAAATGGATAAATGATGAGATAAATAGATTATATATCTGATATATGGGATATGGGTGATTAAGTGGAAAAATAACGTATGTTTGTTTTTTTTCAAGATACTGACTCTCTCTCAAAATAACGATCAAAGCCATTTGCACCGTGGTTTGTGTGGGTGATATTCAATATTGTAATATCACTTCACTGCTGGGTTGATTGACTAGATTCAGGAAGCACGTGATTTATCCACGAGGTTTTAGATAAAAAAAAAAGGTATGATCTAAGCATTTTATTCCGCTGCATGTTTTATATTTTGATTTACATTTTATATCTCCGATTTTTGTGTAATAATGATCTTTGATTTGTTTGTTTGAATGGGGAGATGTAATTTTTATGTCTAGGGACTGGATAGGATGATATTGGAAAATTTTCAAAATACAAAGAAAATAAAAAATAAAAAAAATCAGAGCAGTAAACAGTTAGCTTAATTTTCTCTGGTTTGGTAAAAAGACGGAGAAAATTGTAAGCAAATCAAAGAAAATTGGTCAAAACATAAAGAAAATTATGAGCAAAGCAAAGAAAATTTAAACTAAAGAAAAATTTCAAAATACAGAAAATCAATTAAATTTCTCTGAATTTATCTGTGTTTTGAAATTTGTTTGAAATTTCTCTATGTTAAGGTCGAAATGTCTCTGAGTCAGGCTGAAATTTCTCTAATGTTGTGTTTGGTTAGTGGATTTTGAAAGAAATTTAGAAAGAGAAAGAGAAAAGATATATAAAATTATGTGAAATTTAGGTATAATTTATTTATATTTCACCTACCTTTTTCATTTCCTTTTCCAAATCTCTCAACCAAACATAACATAAGTCATTTTTTCTCTGTGAAAATGTTGAGAAAGCTTAACTATTATGAAAATATTATATATTTTTTATCTTATAAAATCTTAGTATCGGAGACTTTAAGATAATATAATTATTATACTTTAAAAATATTAATTTTTCAAAACTATCTTTTAGTAATACAATTATTATATTTTAAAATAATTAATGTTAATAAATTTAAAAGAATGATAAACTAATAAATTTATATTATTTTAATTCTTAATTTTAAAAAATAAATTAATATTTGAAGTGACAAAAAATGAAAAAAAAATATTTTGAGACAAGTGAATAAAAAATTAATGATTCATTCATATAATTTTTGAATCTATTTGAATGAGACTCCCACTTGTAAAAAAGTTTCATGTCAGAAACACATAAAAATTTCAATGGTACGAATTCGAACGATAAAAATTGTGTGTATACGGAACAATACCATCATATAGATATTAATTTTTAAATCAGTAGAACAATTATATACAAACGAAAAGGAAATTACAATTAGTGTCACTATCTCTTGCTATTATTACGAAACAAGACACCACCACAAACAAAAATTAGTCGCGAAAAGTTAGGCACCATCACAATGATCATTAAAAAATTATGATTATTAAATTATCTTAATTAACCTATGATATTTTATTGAAAAAGTTAGGGATCATGAAAATTTTATCATGAAAATGATTATGAAAAATTTATGATCTTTGGATTACCTTAATTAGTGTGGGGTGCTTTATTCTAAGTATAATCTAAGGGTTACAAAACTTTTATGATTATTTTCATGAAAATTTTTTCATAATATCTAACATTACTGTATTTTATTTTAATTATAATTCAAGAATCATAAATTTTTTATGATTATTTTCCTGAATTTTTTTTATGATAGCTAGTATTGTTCAAACTAGTCACAGCTAGAGAAAGGAAGGTGCAACAAAATTCTACGAACCAACACTCTTCTCTCTCTCTAAAACTCCCCTTTCTCTCTCTCTAAATTTCTCATTCTACCATCTCTTACTGAGCTCAGATTACCTAGTGATGGCGGTGTGCGCCACCGACACGGCTCGAGAGCTTTCGTGCCGAGACAGCCGAGCCGCAGCGAACCTCAAGCTCGTCTCGATGTTTGTGATCTTCGTCACGAGCGTCGTCGGAATATCGTCTCCGGTGATGCTCGCGCGCTTGTTCCAAGGTAAGCCGGTCTACGACAAGGCCATTCTCATAATCAAGTGCTTCGCGGCCGGCGTGATTCTCTCTACATCGCTCGTCCACGTCCTCCCCGACGCCTTCGACGCTCTCGCCGACTGCCACGTGGCGTCGCGACACCCCTGGAAGGACTTCCCCTTCTCCGGCCTCATCACGTTGATCGGAGTACTCACCGCACTTCTGGTAGACCTAACCGCAACGTCGCACGTCGATAGCCACGGAGGAAAGGCGAGTAGTAATTACACGGCGATCGGGACGAGCGAGGAATTGGCGGCGGCGAGGAAGAAATCGGCGGAGAGTGGAGTGGAAATGGGGGTGTTTGGTGAGAGGGAATCGTAAAGAGATGGTGAGGATGAAGCAGAGATTGGTGTCGCAGGTGCTGGAGATTGGGATAATATTTCATTCGGTGATCATAGGGGTGACGATGGGGATGTCTCAGAATCAGTGCACGATCAGACCGCTTGTTGCTGCACTCGCGTTTCACCAGATCTTTGAAGGGATGGGCCTTGGAGGCTGTATTGCTCAGGTACGGAATCAATCTTTTTTTTATTTTATTTGATAAGATATGCCTTGCTCTTGGGTTGGAATCAGATGAACGGTGGTGAGTGATTAGCCTACTTTACTCTGTATTGCTCAGGTACGGAATCAATCTTTTTTTTTTATTTGATAAGATATGTCTTGCTCTTGGGTTGGAATGAGATGAACGGTGGTGAGTGATTAGCCTACTTTATTTAGAAAAATGTTTGGGAGCACTAATTAGTGCTCCCACTAATTAGGTGGAAGTGGGTTTCATCATTAATGATGTGATGTTTTGGTCTTGAAGTTGTATTTTATTTTTATTTTTTTTACTTTTTTTAATACATTAGTGCTATTAGTGGTGATGTTTTTAGTGGGATGAATCATTGTTGCTTTGGCCTCGTTTGGCATAACCTATATAATCCATCTTTTTATCTTTTTATCTTTTTTCCATCACATCACCTCTCTACTTTTCTGCACATCTTTTCGTAAAAAGACAAAAAGTGCACTTTTTTAGGACACCCCATATGCAGTATATTCATCTTGGAGTGGTCCAAATTCGGTTACAAGTCCTTTACACAATATCGCACACCACTTACTAATGCTTTATCAAAACACCTCTGTGGGAAATATTACAGTACCTGCTGGTTTAAAAACTGGCCATCAGATCTGCTTGAGCTTCAGCTTGTGGTTGCTGAGCAATTTCGTTTTCAAGGATTCTGACTTCTGCACGGGTTAAGGGTTTGTTTTCAGATCTTCCAAAGTAAACACAGTTCTCATTTGTGAAATGAGTATCTCTTCCAAGAATGGTGGAACCGTATTGGTTGTCATTAGTAGCGGCTCTTGCGACGGCTTCCAGTTTAAGCTGTCCCTGTGCTGCTCAGTATCAGTCACTCCAGAGATTCCATGATCATAGGTGAGACGATCTAAATTTCCTTGTTCAATTCGGTGAAGGACTTGTAACCGAATTTGGACCACTCCAAGATGAATATACTGCATATGGCTCCGTTGCAGCTCTTCAATTTAGTCACGATTGGCGAAGGAAATGAAGGTACACAGAACAGATGAATTTCCTTGTTCAATTCGGTGAAGGACTTGTAACCGAATTTGGACCACTCCAAGATGAATATACTGCATATGGCTCCGTTGCAGCCATTCGCTCTTTGCCACGTTTTTCCTCCAACGTGATCCATTGCCCAGTGATAGAAGGCCAGAATGTACTACTTGCAAAAGAAGTATAGTTGCCCAAGTGATCTGATTTGAGGACCATTACTCGTGTAGCCTAATTTCCTGATGAAAAACTCAAAGAGACTAAGGGCTTACGCTCTTGATCTATTTTGATAAAATTCACGGCATCGCAATCACTATACTCACCACCTTCCGTTAGAACATTGAGTGATTCAATGGGCGGCGCTGTGGTTGTAGCAAAAGGATTATCCCAAACAGGTGGTTGAGGATAATCTGTTTGAGCAGTACCATCAGGTTCATAAGTGGGATCATAGCCGAACGGGACACCAGCGTCATCATCATCATCGTCGTCAGGAGGATATTCATCAAATCAGAAGTGTTTCTTGTCGATTTTCTGCTTCATTTAGAATGGGACTCTCTTCATCCGAGTCTGGGACTTCATTATCATTGTGACCATAGTGAACAGGTTCACTTCGTTGGGCTGCTATATAATTTCCAAAGGATCCTTACAAAGCACAGTAACCCGCAATATGTGCTTTCTTCCTCATCGACAGTCTCCAATTACGCAGGTTGTCGCTCCAGTATCCAGGATTGCATTCCCATCCAGTGGCGAGAATTTGATGGCGTTCAGCTTCAAAAGACAGCCAATTATCAGGTCCTTTGTAACGGACAAGATAATCATATTTTCTACTTGGAGAAACGGAGAAGCTCATGTGGACGCAATGGCGGATGAAGTACACAGATGAGTTCGCTAATTTAGTCATGATTGGCGAAGGAAATGAAGGTATAAATGCTATTATGGCTAAGGTTGGTTTACTTTACTAGAGAGACAGACTCTATCGTAAATAGTAATCACATTTTTGTAAAATGTGACATTGTCGCCTTCAATTCTTACTCCACCATACATGGCTCTGATGAAGTTACATCCGATAATCATCTGGATCCTACCTCCAAGACGGAACAGAAAGCTGTATGTATATGGGATTCGAAACCAATTATCCCCAATATACATTTTTCCTCCTTTCAGCTTCTTATTGGCCTTTGACTGTGAATTTATTCCATTAAATTCCACAGTATATGTGTTATCCTCCAGGGCGTCAGCTGGAACTGATTCTGAGTCTACAACGCAGGTTGTCGCTCTAGTATCCAGGATTGCATTTAATGAGATCTTCTGTAGATTCGGAATTTCGAGCTCAACAGTGAGATTATAAAGCATATTCTTCTTCTTCTCCTTTATTTCTCCTTGAGCGATTGTTTCTACAAAAGCATTAAGTTCTTCTGCTTCTGCGGCTTCTGTAAGAAGATCTTGCAGTTCATCCTCTTTGAATTTGCCCTTTGTTCGTAGTTCCTTTTCATCTTTTTCCAGTTGTATGCTCAGTCTGAGATCTTCAAGCTCAGTTTTATACTGGATTGCTTCATCACGAAGCCTCTTCATTTCTACTTCACACCATCTAATGTACTCCTGCTGTTCCTGGAGTAATGGCTTCTGATTGTATGGGATGGGTGGTTTCTTCATGACGAACTTGGAATAGTTGAAGTAATGGTTGGCACATAGTGCGCAGGTTAAAGCATTGCATTTAGCACAAAATGCTTTAGACTGGGCAACTATACTTCTTTTGCAAGTAGTACATTCTGGCCTTCTATCACTGGGCAATGGATCACGTTGGTTCCATTCATGTTGACAGTGATATATTTCCGGAGTGACTTTAACTTGTGCTCTGTAACCTCCTTCTTTTCCAAGCCAATAACTTTTGTCTGATTCTCTGAACATGTAGATTGTTTCAACCAATCCTCCACCAATTTGTTCCGTATCATCAAATCCATCTGATACAGAATAGATGGCGTCTGAATCATCATCTCCTGGTTGAACTGATAGAACATCATAATCATCAGGAATGCTCAGATTTTCAAACATCGCTACTCGTTTAACATTCTTCTTGTCCTTTGTGCAGTCACGAGCATAATGTCCTTCTTCTCCACAAAGATAGCATTTGCAATGCTTTGATTTCTGCAAGTACTTTCGTTTATCAATTCGGACATGTGAAGAATGCGGTTTTCCTTTATAGGTCTTCTCGAGCAACTACCGGATCTGTTGGCTATGATCTTAGTTCAACACAACGTATGTTGATACAATCACAAGGAAGATAACACATATACTGTGGAATTTAATGGAATAAATTCACAGTCAAAGGCAGATGTCTTTAACATCTCTGCATGCCAGTCTTTCGAGATCTCGATAAGCTTTTCTTGTAAGCTGGTGAATAGAATTTTCTAGAGAGTTCAACTGGAGCTGCTGACAACGAAATTCCTTTAGGTTTACTTTACTAGAGAGACAGACTCTATCGTAAATCACGGCTATATTACGAGCTAGTTCTTTAGTTTTGGGTTTTTCAGTATTATCTTGATAAATCCCATCTAACGTTAAGGACTGATTGCCAGGCCATAATCAGTTACTTCAACAAGACAGTGGAGCATAAACCATCACGATCGCGATGGATAGCATTTACAGATTATATAACTGGTCTAGGCATAGAAGTATCTTTAGAACATATCAATGGTTCTGATAATACTTTAGCTGATGCTTTGTCTCGAATTGTTTACTCATTATGCTCAATTACAGAATGGCCAACAGAGGAGGTACAGGAAGATATGGAGGTTCTAGCCGGCCTGCACCAAATCGAAGAACTTATCCAGCTTTGCAGAGAGAAGAACGAATCATCCTGTCAGAAACAGAACCATCAAATCGCTGGATTGATCCAAGCATACATCCCTGTGCTGCTCAGTATCAGTCACTCCTCCAACAACTTGAAGATCGTCTCACCTATGATCATGGAATCTCTGGAGACGAATTTGCAGAAATCCAAGCTTCCTTATCCAATGAGGAAGATGATGCCATACAGCAAGCTAGAACAGCCCTGCAACAGCTTGTCAAAATTCAACAGCTTAAACTGGAAGCCGTCGCAAGAGCCGCTACTAATGACAACCAATACGGTGACAAACTGCCAGAAGTCCATCAACAAACCTGTGAGCTCAAGGAAATAGATAATGAGCTATTTGATGTCGTCATGCTAATGCGCCTCTTTCGCTACTGATGGTGGAAGAACGTGGTGGACCCCCTTTCTTTGTCGACTTGTGAGATATTATATGCTTTGATAAAGCATTAGTAAGTGGTGTGCGATATTGTGTAAAAGTATTTTGTCGTATTAGTCTGTCAGTGTTATCCCACTTCAATCACTACTCAGTTTTACTGAGAAAAGCTGTTGGGATTTTTATTAAAAGTCTTTTGGCGTCTTGTGCTTTGATAAAGTTATGCTTTATGCTTTATTAAAGAGAGAATCTTTGTGTAGTGGAGCATCCAATAATGTGTCGATGAGGCCCAATGTGTACTCGACATTATTGCATCCTACCTCTACAATTCTCTATAAATAGAGTCAGTTTGTAATACTCTAGCATCAAGAGAAGTTAGAACAACTAAACTTGGTACTTGAGTTTGAAGTTTGTAACCACTCTGAAGTTTGAAGTTTGAATCTCAGGTCTGAATGTTTTCTATCTAGTTCTTATATTCTTATCCTGAATTTGAATTTCATTATTCTTTCCGCGCTTCCCCTTTTGGTATCAGAGCTAGTTTATCTTTGGTAGTATGGCAGCTTAAACTTAATATCAGGATAGCAAAGGCCTCTGATGTTGTTAAAGTTTTCATTGCTAAACTAATATATTTTACTCTCAAAAGTTGTAGCTATCAAATTATAAGTAAAGATAGTCTTATGCATGCCAAGGCAAAAGTATTAATTTATTACCAGGGCAAAGTAAGGGATTAATGCT